TTGCGTCTTTGAAGTGATCTGGTTTCAACTTGTTCATTCAAGATTAGCTATGAATTCAACTTTGTGAGGGAGGCTGAAGCTATGGCAAGAATTCGTCATTTCCTTTGCCAGAATAACAAAAGGTCCCCTGTTCGGGTACCTCGTGTGATACGAGACATGGTCAGCAGGTATGCTCAGGTGAAGAAAATTTGTTTTGTCTGCGTTGCATTGTGAAACATAAGATGAGACTATTTACTTTAGCTCCGCTATTGGTTAGTAATTACATTGTGTTTCTATTAATGTGTTTAACTTTGTCAAGACTTTTTTTTTAAACCTATAAGTGTTATACTTTGTTATGACTTGACTAAGTATTGAACAAAAGTCGACTAGTTTCTCCACTGTGGTGCTAGTCCATAGTACGTGGATGTCTGATCCTTAATATAAGGCTTTTCTTCAAGCGCACTGTTATTTGCAAGGCATAGTCGATGATACACGTGGATCACTTTGTAATTTGCAGTTTGTTTCATACTCACTTTATTATAAGCTTTATAGTCTCCTTGATACTGTAATTGCAAGACAATCAAATATCTGTTTGCATGTACTGAGGATTGAATATTTTCTGTCGTCCTGGTTCTTCCTGAAAGAAATATTACTTTTGACCACCTACTCATGGAATTAACCGTCATACACTGGGTGACACATGTGTAGTCTACTAACGCCCACATGCTATGGGACTTGAATGTGAGATTGGTTCAACATCGCTGTTTCAAGATTTTTCTAGTGGGATCATTTCATTTGAATAATATCTTGTCAAGTATATTTGGTCTTGCCTTAGTCATTCTATGTTTTTTTTTTATATTATATATTCTTCAGATAAGTTGCTTCAGGGTAGTTTTAACCAAATATGAGGAGTTTTAAAGTGGTCTGGTGTTTTTCTTTGAGAAAGAATATTTGATGTATTGATTTGATATTGTGGGCAGTGCTATTTGTATTTTAGTAGCTCTCTCATATATAAAGATAGTGATCACAAAGGTCAATTAAATAACTCCTACATAGAAAGAGATGGGTGGGTGGGAGGTATTTGCATCAGATTACATGGGAGTGGATGCTGGGTGTTTGCACTCTACTAGTTCTACCAAAAAGGTAATTGTTAGCAAATAGTAAAGGATAGGTGGAGTGAAAGGAGGAAATACTTTTGAAAGAACCAAAAAAATAAAAGGAAAAAGAAAACCTTATGCTTGTTGTCTGGTGCTGGATTAGATCCTGTAGCAGGGCACATTGAAACACATAAAGTTATGTGATCCACCACTTAAGGGTAGCTTTTGTTTTGTATGTTTAGTTCAAGAACTCTACTTCTACCCCCTTATATCTACTTCTGAAGATGTCAAAGGTGCTTTTCCATGTGCTTATGCAGCTCCACAAGTTCCACTTATTCTATCTTATATTTCTCTTCTCTGCATTAGTTTGATTTTTTGAGCTAATTTTAATTAGTTGATTGACAATGATGGGAATAACTATTTCTCGCGTGAATTTTGGTTTATTTCTGTTGATATTCTACCTATGTGTATCCACCTGAGCAATCACTTTCTTTATACTGCTACTAGGAGGGTTTTAGTGATGGAATACATTGATGGCATACCCATTTTGAAGCTAGGAGATGAAATGGCAAAGAGAGGCATACATCCTGATGGCAAGTTAGCGGCAGCTGCAAAACAGTAAATCCCTGAATTATCCTAAAACTTGTTCTGAACCTACCTGCTTGTTCATTCACCGACACGTTTCCTTGATGTATACATAGTCTTCTGCCTTTGTTCCCCTCTAAAGTGGTCATTTTTCATGTCCGTGTATATTTGAATGTCCATGTGGAACTCCTCTATGTTGCTCTTTTCTTAAAATGTTTATAGTGAAGCTCCCCCTTTTTCATTCTTAAAATGCAGGAATATCCTTAAAAATTTGTCACTTGCTTATGGACAAATGATACTCAAGAGTGGTTTCTTCCATGCAGATCCTCATCCGGGAAACATTCTGATCTGCAAAGGTTCTGAGGCAAGTGCACATTGGAATACCTAAAACTTATCCCTGAACGAAGCATTTACAGCCATCCTTCTCGCAATTAATGTACATCAAAGATTGTTATTTACATTATTCCTTTCAGGTTGCATTGCTTGATTATGGACAAGTGAAGGATCTTCCTGATGAACTGAGGCTTGGATATGCTAAGTTGGTTCTTGCGATTGCCGATAATGACCCTTTAAGAGCATCAGACAGCTATAGGTGCTATAATTTGCCCTGAAAATTTTTTGTTGTAAATTTATATTTTCCCTTTTTCTGCTTTCACAGCAAAAGAGAATTAGCTCGTGTCTGTTACTCTCCAATTACTCTAGAATTGGAGAAATCAGTTACTGTCCTTTGTTTGGGCAGCGGTGTTACTTTTGCCAGTTGTTATGCACATGCACAGAGAGAGAGAGAGGCGAGGGAGGGGAGGGGGGGGGGATTCATCGTTGACAGCATATGTTTATTGACCGTAAGATTGGCAGACTGGTCGTGTTTTTGTTAAGAGAAAATGCGTTCATGCAAGTATGGTTGCAAATCATCTATCATTAGAATTTAGAAACCCATCACAGTGGAGACCGTGTTGAAAATAATATATCCCTTGATATACCAGGTGAAAATAGCATATGCTTCTTCATAGGCTCATAACCATTCAGCCAGAACTAGTGGTTGATTTTTCTGTAACTGCTCTCCTGTGGCTTGGCTTAATCTGCTCTAGCGAGGAAACAATAAAACTGCAGGCTTGCAGCAGTGTACCAATTTTTCGCTTTTCCTTGGTAATTTGCCTTCTTTAAATCTCAGGGAGCTTGGTATCGAGACCTTGAGCAAATGCGAGAATGAACAGAAGGAAATGCTTAGGCTGGCACAGACAATGTTTGACACAAAATTACCCCCTGGAGTTACTATGCTGCAACCTTTTGCAGAAGGATCTTCAATAAAAAAGATTGCTGTTAAGGTATGTCTTTAAGTTCCTTAGGTAATGAATATATTGCTACTATTAGCTGAGAGTTGGGTTTATTAGTCGAGCAAATTGAATGGATGCCTTGCCCCCAGGGCCTAGCTGGCAATGAACCATACCCTTTTTCCTCAATGCATCCCTCTCTTTGATACCTTGCCGGGTATACTAGCTCAAGAGATTGAAAATGTTGGTTTATGTTTAGTCAACAATG